TATTCATGGCGAGTATTACATTTCACTTTAAAATGACAACAGGAGGAGGTTTTTGTCATTTAACACCACTTTCAGAAGGATGAGACAAAATCAACAACAACCTAAGAGTTACCACTTTGTCCACAGCGGGGCTCAAAAGTCAACATCGAGAGGAAGTTCCTCGCTGGAACTTTAAGTTTAATTCTGTTTTTAATCACCCATGAAGTAAATTTCACAGCTACACTTATATGTTTACTCTAATATGACACAAATCATATCAAGGTACATAGTATTTGCATTAGGCAGTCCATAACAGCAACTTTTCAGCACTGGCTTCACATGAGGTAAATTTTTCTGTAGTCATAAAACCTTACCCTCAGGCCGCACAAGATCTGCATTCATTCTACTTGGAGTGTAATTCTGGATGCAAGAAGGAACCCCATCTCCATGCATCCCTGTCCTCCCCAAAAAATGTGGAATCGAGGTGTGTTTCAGATTATTGCTAAAATATGGAAATTGCCCGAAAGCAACACTGCAGTCATTATAGTCAACTAATCCCTGATACTGCAGATGTCTCTGTGAATAAGCTGACCTCCATATTGAAAATCATTTTCACTACTTTCATTTTGAGTGCTGATTTTCTTTTTTTTCATGGCTACATCAATGATGAATTATTTGATATGATTTAATATATTCTTAATGCATTGAAGCACAAAAATGCATGTTTAAAATAAATTAATTAATAAATGTGCAAAAATGTTGCTTGATATTTCCATATTACCCTGTGCAGTTCTGTCTGCCTCGTCCTATTGTTTAAACAAATAAACAAACAGATAAATAAACAGCTGATAAACTGGCAAATTAACTATTTAATTGGAATGTTTTTTCACTTTATTCTAATAAAATAACAAAAAACAATGAAACCATCTTTACTCATAAATAAGCCTGAGTCCCACTTTCCATTGCCCTGGGCTGAGTACTGTCAAAGCTTCATTTCCAAGTCCAAGTCTGAGTCATCAGCCTTCAGGTCCGAGTCCTGAACTCCAGTGCTACAATACCAGTGCATGATTTTTAGGAATTCATTACTTATAAGTTCTGTAGAAGATCATTTGAGCTGCAATTTCAGATCTTTTTAGGACACTTAATGGCAGCTGCAGAGCAGAGAGGCAACACAATAAAACAGCAGAGCATGATTGGCCCTTTTGTGAGCATTTCGAGCTCTGATTGGTGCTTTGCAGGTGGAGCTTCAAAGAATCCGGTTGGAAAATACCTGGAGATGGCATGTTTTTTGGACCTTTTTTCCCGATTTAAACTCTTTTATTCAGGGTATTGTGAAAAAAAGACTAAATTTTGTGATAATCCTAAAATTACAAATGACTTGTTGATTACGTAACATCATCTCTGTTACCCTGATGTCAGAAATGATGATTGCTTCATTTTTGTTCATTAAAGGAAAAGGATTTCCTCCCATAAAAAGGAAACTTTTCACACCAGACTAATCCAAGTGAAAGCTGCCTCATGTGGAGGAATCAGTCATGCCTGCATACCATTATGTCAAATCTCCACACACACAGTGCTTACAAGAAGAAAACAATCTTTTCTCCATATTTCACTTTCAATTAATTTCTCGTTTTCATGAAGTCAAAACCTAATTGCATGTGAGTCAGAGCAAACATCTGTCCTCATCATTTTCAATAAGTGCAAGCTGTCAGGCATGTAATCAGAAAATCATGTGCTGTCAGTCAAATTCCATTACAGTCAATGCAGCTCCATTTTTGTCAAGATGAGAAATTTTCAACGTTTGATGCTTATTTCCTTGAGTGAGCAGACGGAAACACTTCCTGACTTCTGTGTCTGGTATCAACAGCTGTTAATGACTGTGTGGCACTAGCAAGAAAAGATAGCAAATAAATATTTTCTATTTTGCTGCTCGGGGTTATTTCTATTCTGGATTCTTTCTATTAAATAACACTGCAGGTCTGCGAATCCTGCTCCTCTATAGATGTATAAATCCACAGGAAACTGTTGAGAATAAGACTGTGACTAGCTCCAGTGTGCAGCAGGAAACAAAGTTAGCAGCATCACAGCTTGGTGCTGACAGATGAAAGAGGTGCTGAAGTGTTATTATGGCTGGAGTGTACTCAAAGGAATGCAATGGATGACCACTCTAGGGTCAACTCCGCTCACTCCGCCCCAGGGGAGAGATCTCCAGCTGAAGTATCACCTGCTTTGATATTGGGATTGTGGTAGAGCTTCTGCCTTTTGCTTTGCACACACACACACATACACACACACACAAACAACACAAACATGGTGGAGAATGTGCGCAAAATGTGTGAACACTGCTCTTGCATAATTGCTATTTGTGCATGTATGCATGATGCCAGAAATTCATTGATAATAATGATGTTATTCTGCTTGTTTTACACAATTACAATCACATACACATCCATAAATGCATGCACATACTCTAATGGTAACCTTTAATATTTAACCAAATCATCAATATTCAGGACAGTCTCATGTCACACATTATTACTGCAGTGCTTTATGCAAATGAAGCAAAATTCTTCAAAAAAATGTGGCAGTTTCCAGAGTCAGTGAAGTGAACTGCGGGGCAGAAACCAGGCCAAGAAGAAATCCTAGGTTATTTCCCTTTCTCACCTCTGCGGTCGGTGATAATTTTCAAGACCCCCCATAACAGCCCCTTTCTGTCAGTTCTTTTTGGCTCTCATTAGCTCAGGCAAGGGTGAAGACAAACGGTAAGAAATGAAATGGATATGCTTTAAAGTCCTTGTAATGGGTTCATGCAATGCCATGAACACAGCTAATTAAGGTCAGGAGAGTTTTCATCACAGGCAGTCCTATGCTAGTGTATGTTTTCATCAAGGGTATTTATTATGCAGCGCTGCAGAGGGCGGGGCTGCCACGCTTCACGAGAAAGGAACAGGTGCTGCTCACTGGTTGACCATAGTTATTATCTTTAACCTAAACCCACTTTAAGTATATTTCCTACATTATGCCTTACATTATGCACAGTAAAAATGAAGGGAAGGATCACATTAGTTCTGAAAGTGTTTTCTTCAATTAGTTCTCAAGAAAATAAGGACCTGCCTGGGCTGTATCCCAGGGCGCCTCACGCACAGCTCAAGATTATGCTTATAAACTTTTTCTGTCTTGGTTGTTGTAGCCATGGTTCCTGCAGAGATGCAGTCAAAAAGTTAAAAAAAAAAAAAAAAAAAAAACAGAATTTGATGGTTCAGGTTCATTTCAACCTCATATTGCTGCATGATACAAAGCAGCTATCTCTTTGTTACAAAATCAGCATTCGCAATAAACATATCCCAAATTGCAAAATGTTTTGGAATAAATTCAATATAAAAAATGAACAACAGACCATCTAATTAAAATGCTTTCTCATTTAAAATATGACAACGGTTGCTTGAGTAAACTGGATTACCCTGTTTTTAATTATACTGATTTACAAATCCAGATTACTGTTATCCAGATTAAACGGCCCAGACATCATCATGACTTGGACAGTTTTTTTAGACCCAAGATGCAGACGAAAGACACAGCTCTAGCAGTTGGAAGAGTTTTATCAGAGTTTTGGTCACAAAGTGGAAAATTGAGATGTAGAGGAAACACGGGGAAGAGTAGTACATCTGGCCGTAGCCCAAGTGGGCACCTAGACAGTTATATATACAAACAGATGAAGATGTGGTTCTTTGGAAAAATACAAGAAAAACAAAAGCTGTTTGCTGGTTACTTCAATGAAGCCAATTTATTTGGTGTAGGTATTGGTAATCACTCTGTCTGCAAAGACAAATAAAGGGAGGTTTTGGGGTGACCTTTTGATTGACCTTTATGGCAAATTGAAAGTGCACTTTCTTCACATTCTACTTCAAAATAAAAATCTACGGATAACAATAAACAAAGAATTAAGCTTCTCCCTCCATGTGTGGCACTGCTCTACATGGTCCACAGACATGGACCCCCTCTTATAGCCCAAAAGCAGCTCCAAGTGAAATGTAGTGGGTTCAGTTAAGGAAGATATGTCAGAGAGAATATTCACCACTTTTTTAACTTTCAAAAAGCTGGAAAAACAATGAAAGTGCAGCCTCCTCAGCCTCCCTGCTGCAGCCACTGGGTATTTTGCACATTGCTTGTTAGCACATTGGCTCCTAAAAGGGCCAATCAGATTTAAATGAGGGCCCTTGCAACCCTAGACCAACCCCTGTACCCGCTCGTAGGAATCTGACAAGCTTTAAATTATACTGAACAGCAGCCATTGACCCAAGATTACCTGTGAGCTCATCTGTAATCTGTGTTGGTACAGACAGAGACATTGGTTGTAATTATCCTAACAAATGGCTCACTGGTCATTAAGGAAAGCATTGCTTTTAGATGCCTAATAGCTCAGGTGACTTACAGCGCCAACTAGCAAACATTAGCCTGAACATTTATTATATGTGATTGCCTTAATAACAGATAGATGAGGTTGTAAACTCTGGGTGATTACAGCAGACACATTAAAAATTTTGTCTCATCTAAACACCACAGTCATTTATTAACCATGGAAAAAGTTTGCAGTGAACACAGTGAAGGTTACTGCCATTGCTTGAGATGCAGCAGTTATTTACCCGCCTTTAGTTATTTGACGTAAGTAAAAGATAAACACTTGACAGAACAATAACAAGGAAAAATTGCGCCTCTTTGAAGTGGTAGTCCATTTGCACATTAAACATTGTTATTGTATATCTAAGCATAAAAAGGAACAGTCTTGGCTGCAGGTCAGATGTACTTACCATTTTCACGTTCAGTAACAAACCTTAATATAATTTTCTCTTTACCTTTATTCACAAATGATTAACCTGGATTATACATGGCATATTTATTCTGTTTTATTTCCTTTCCATAATGTTCTGTTCCACATCAGAAGTCTTTTTTTACCATTTTCATAATCAAATCTACTAACACTGGTCCAATGCTGGATGGGATAGCTGAATTAGAGTTAATTATTCAAGCGGTGATTTGTAAGTTTATCCCTTTAATAAGAATTTTTGTGTATTTGTGCACATAAGTATGGAAAATAATTAAAGGTTACATGTTGGAGAGCATACCCATGTACTTATGGTGGAGAGGAGAGGAGGGGAGAAGATCTATCACACCAAAAAATTGTCAGGTCTCCCATTTCCGGGAGACTTTGGCTCCTCTTGAAGCGCTTAAGCAGGTATTTAGGTACACACATTGAAATGGGACACTCACACACACAGAAGCGCGCACACACACACACACACACACACACACACACACACATACAGTATGTAGCTTTCTGCCTGAAGCTGTCTAGATCCCAACTTCTCTAGTTAGTAAAGCACCGAAGCAGCACACAGACACTCCATATATCAAAGAGCTGTTCCACTACATCAGAGGACGCAAATTTAACAACAGCACCTGAAGGAGAACTGTTTAGGAAAAGTGCTTTTAATACTGCTAAACTAAACATTTATGATGTTACTTTGTAGATAGAAAACATTAAAGCAGTGTGTACAGGTTTGCAGGGGCATGTTTGAGATCTGGTTTGTAACAGACTCTCATATCTATATGGTTAGATGTTAAGCCAAAATCTTTATAGTCTGACAGCTGTCTTTAAAAACTTTTTTTTTTTTTCATGCATTTTACCCTTATCAATTATGACAACTGAAGACAGGCAGGAAATGTGGGGCATGAATGGTGAACATAGACACGCAGCTAAGGGTGTGCATGTGATGCATGATTTAACCAGGATCCAACCTCACACGTGTGCAAAACAAAAAAAACTGCGTTCACTTGAGGCTTGCTGTAAAAGCCAAGAAATCCTCATTAACACTCAACTTAAGGTCCATTTTTATAGCCCAGGTAAATATGTTTGCAGCATATTGCTCTTTTTTTATTTATACACATTGCAGATGGTTGGACTTTATAAAAGCCTGTCTGTTTTGAATATATACAAAACAGACAGGCTATGTGCAAAAATAATTACTAAGCAGCAATCTCCACTTGTAAGACAACAATGCAAAAGTGCCAGAAACTGTAGTTCCTCCAGTGTCCACTTGAGGCTTGCTGCAAAAGCCCTGAAAACCACATAACATACTCATTCAAAAGAAGCCCACTCTTACAGTAAAATGTGTATATTCAAATCCTGGTTCAAAATCCAATTTTGGTCTGAGTATCTTATTCCACTGTAGGCCCACACTCTGAGGGGGCTGAATTTTTTCAGTGCATTTATTTTTAATTGAAGAGGCATAACAAAATACACAGCTGACTTTAACAGGATAATAGTTCTTTGTGTTTATTTGGAGGGAGGCTGAAAGCCCACCTCCTCAATGTTACCTCCAAAGTCTGCTACAAGTTTGGTTGAGTCAACATTTCCAATATAGTGCCTGATCGGTCATTGGGCAGCGTTACTGACACTTTGTCCATGTTTTACCGAGCCTATGATTATTAGGGGCAAAGCGGAGTTAAAGAGAGGCAGGAGGGTCTTCTCTTTCTCTCCCTCTGCCCTCCCTCCTACTCCCCTCTATCTCCCTCTCTCCCTCCCTATCTCCTTGTATTTCTCCCCAAGTCAGCAGTGGGGAGGTGGCTGTCTAACATGAGTCTGGTCCTTCCCAAGGTTTCTGCCTGGAAAAGGAAGTTCTTGCTTGCCACTGTCACTCATGTTAGATGAGATGGGTCAAATCTGTCCCATCTTATGGTTGGGTCTTGGTAATTCATCAAACAATAAGCGTAGTCTAGACCTGCTCTTTTTTTTTTTTTTTTGGAAAGTGTCTTGGGATAATGACTGTTGTGATTTTGTACTATATAAATAAAATTTGATTTGATTTGATTTGATTTGAGGGTGTCATGTGGCCATGTGCAGGGAAGTTTTAGGCCCACCTCAGCCTCACTTTTTTGTCGCTGGGGTCAACTGGAAAATAAGTTGTACGAGTCTTTCCAATTCAGCCTTTTCACCCATTTCAAGCCTTTTTGCTAAGCTAACCAGCTGCTGACCAAGGAGGTAAGAGTGCACTTTTTCAAGATTGTTCAAGTATTCCTCTAATTTTTCAAAACATTACGCATTATTGGTCGTACACTGTTATTGTCACATAACAATCGCCTACCTGAATCACACAGTCCCTGCAGATTTGGTCCAAAGCTTTACTCCATTATTACACTTGTCAGTTTAACACTCTGATTATCACAGATATGATTTGCTGCTATCTTGTAGCTTTCAGTCTCCTGGTGATAAGTATCAGGCTTCCTTATTTTCATGTTCACAATCAAGGATCGTATTACTGTCTAATCTCACGCTCTGAGAAGCAAAGCCAGATGAAGATCTGGAAGATTTTCACTTTCAGACTGTTTTCAAATCAACCATTAAGATCTTCGTCTTTGCTAATCCTTTGAATGTCATTCACTTGTGATTTTTAACGCTGTTTTTTGCTCAGAGGGAGCACAGCAGGAGGAGCTGGGTTCTGCTTAGATGAGTAATAATACAAGAAAAACAGTCTGCACCCGTACACCAGGCGGTATGGTAGCTGGAGTACAGTACATCCACACACCAGGAAGAAGCTTAGTGATTTTATAACTAAACCAACTGAGTCAACACATGAATTATATATTTTGCTTACCAATTCTCTTAGTTACAGCAACACTCTGCCACCACAGCACTTTAAAACCTCTTTTTGTTGGAAAGGTGAAGTTCTTAAAGTCAGCACTGATTCACTCACGGAGAGCACATAGACAGCACATTCCCTCTCGTGGGGGATTTGAATTAACCTGACAGGCATCCACTGATGCGGGGTTATTTTTCAAAAATAAATCTATCACAAACTTACATCTTAGTCAGCTGCAGCTTTTTTCATGTCTGTAAAAGTCTGGGATATTCTTAGATTTCAAAAACAGCTCATTTCACCACTACCCCAAAGGAGAACAGTCAGATGTTTTATATCCAACCAAGACAGAGAGAAAAAACAGCAACATTCACATAAATAACTCATTTATTAGAGGGTAGTGATCCTACCACAGCTTTCTGCCTTTAATTTATTACAAAAGCAAAAAAAAAAAAATGAATAGCTAAAACTGGTAACAGAGAGAAAAAGAACAATCAAGACTGTTGTAGTTGAGCCTCCAGACCTCAAGTTTCAAGTCATTGATGGAGATATGTGCTCGTCAGTGCTGCTGTGGGGGAATCACTGCAGTCATTTGATGAAATCAAAAGAGCAATTGCGACCGCTGATCATAATGTCGAAGAATAAGACAGGAATTCAAGAGAGTTCGGACTTCAATCGAGGCCAGTCGTCCAAGCTACAATAAGTTAAAAACCTCTGAACATAATTGCTTCGCATTTTTTAGCTAACACTTCATCATCTCAGTTGTGGAATTTTTATGCCCACTTCGATGTCAGTATTTCACATTCTTAATGCCTAATTGTTAAAGAAATAAAACACTTCACCATGAGTGCATGTAGAGTTCTGACATTCACTAGCAACATAAACATGGTAACCTTCCTCCTCTGAATTCATGAAAGCCTTACATTTTGGTCAATATTGAATGTTGCTTGTAGTCCTTTCTGGTTCCAGATTTGAAAGATTTTCCTTTATCCTATACCTACCTATTCAACCAAGGTCACCATGAGAGGATAATTATTATTCACAGAAACATTACTGCTGAACATTGTCATTCCTTTCATGTGCCTGAAAATGGTATAAATTCAGTTTACAATATCCTGGTTATGCACTCACCTAGTCTGCAAGGATGGTGGAGTGGAGTTTTGGATGTGGTGTAAGGACAAATAATAAAACTGTAGCATTGGTTGTAGACCCTGGTAAAGAGCGTCCTGTCTGTGGCCAAAACAAAACAAACTGTTTTCTTTTTGCAAAAATACAAACCCATAAATTAGCTGTGCTTTTAAGCATCTCCAGGCTTTGATTCATGAGGTTCTTGACATCTGCAGGGTTCAGCTTTTGTCCCACATTTGTTCCTGTTTTCAGTCCTAAAAAGACATAATAGGACTAATATGAGTTCAGCTGGTGATTTGTGCTTTAGCAGAACCTACTGTGCTCCAGAGCCTCTGAAGCGATAAAAGATGAATAGACAGGCTGTAATCAGTTTGTAAAAATGCACTGGCACCCAGCAGTTAGAGATTAAATGCATGGAGGGCCGCCTACAGATAATGCCAAAATAAACTTTAATCTAAGAGTTTACAGTAGAAAATAGCCCAAAGGAAAAGGCAAGGAGGGTAAACAAAGATAAGAAACAAACATTAAAGAAAAAAGAACCTTTTAAATCATTTCTAGCCACAACGGGGCTTTAGAGAAACATTGGTGCATCAATTTGAGGGTGGAGCATTGATTTAAACTAAGATGGACCAATTTGAATAAATCAATACTAAATAAAGCAGATTAAGGTTTTAGGTTACATTGGAATACAGGTATAGACTGCTTAAAAAGTCAAAGTGTTCATCCCTGAGGCTTTATCCCTGCTGATTTTCATCAAAGACTCCAAATAAAGGGAAATTTGCAGTTTGTTTCGTGGCATTAGGTCTGATTTCTTCATCTTTAGCCCTTTAGTACATTAAATCTCATCCATCATGAAGACGTAACTAAAGCAGATTATTTAAGACCGTCTGATTCAACATGTGAAGAAGATTTTCAGACTCAATTCATGAAAAACAAAGACATCATCTTAATTTAAAATGGGTCTGAGTTTTGAATATCGTAATAAACTAAATGGGTATCTTAACAAATTCATGTCTGGTGCCCCAGATCACGATGCTAATAACATTTCAAAGTAAATGACTACAGAACAGGGTGGATTTGTGTTAATGATTCCAGTATGTAAATTACCCTTTTCACATCTTTGCTTCTCATCTCTTTGTTTTTCTTCACACCCAGCGCTCATCAGTGCCAATGACCATGAGACTTCCCACTGTGAGGCGAAATCTGGGTATGTTTAGGAGCTGCACTATCACTGCTGAAAGGTATCTTTCCAGGGGGGCTTTCTAATTAAACTGGTGCCCAAACTCGAGGCTGTGGGAGACGGTGCATCTGCTATGCAAAGTGGCTCAAAATCCTCCAGCTGCCCATCTGCAAAACTTTTCATCTGGCCTCCATCGACGGAGGAGGAGGTTTGGGGAAATGCCTTTATTTTTCATAATCCCCCCTCACTCCCTCTCTCCTGCCTTATCCATATTTCATGAAGAGCTCTGGAGGTATGAAATTGTCTGAAACTAATCCACTACTGGATATTTAGTCCCAGATTAAAATCACTCGCTTCACTGCCTCATAATTCGGTTCCTATTGATTGCCTGGGTCCAAATATAAGTCAAGGATGTACCGAACATTTTTCTCGGGACTTTCTGAAATTGTATCAGCATGGCTTCTCTGCACTGAATTCATGTAAATGTTGTCATCCAGAGTAAGCATTTGTCAGGGTTTTGCACTAACTCAGCACTGCACATGGTCTGTGTAGGCTTATGTTTACACTGCCAAGATATTCTAAACTTTTTATGACCCTGATGGCACAAAAGCTACATCTGTACAACTTAACTGTGATATAAGCACGATTTAAACAAACCTGAGGATAGTTCCACATGTCTGAAATAGATATTTTAAGTTTTTACTGTATAAAGATGGCAAAGGGGTCATGTAAAAATTTTATATGGGAGAGGATGGACAGTCTCCGGCCCCCTAAGGTGAGTGTGCAGATATTTTTCCACAAGGTTTTAAAAAGACCTCACATGTCAACAATGGAAAATAACCCAGAGTCCAAGACTCTAAATTAATCAATACTCAATGTACCAACTTAACTGTAACTTCATTATCAGAGTTTGAAATGTCCTTGGGCACTATCTATCCAATGCTGAGTTTCACCGTCTTTTGGTCCAATTCTCACCACAGGCGGCAAATTCGATACAAGCAGACAAAAGCTCAACTGCCTGACACTGAACAAAGCTGGAAATACCAAAGTGTTTCTTACCGATAATCAAACACAGAATAGTTGATTTTTTTTTCTGATACACAGGACTGAAAAATTCTATATTTTTCTTGTCAGTAATAGACCCCAGAGGAAAATGCAAGCCACATAAGGTATGAGTCAATTTCTCCACACTGTCTGACCCTGCTGCGCCTTTAAGCACCAAAAACTGCTCAGAAACACGTTGTAGTAGCGAGGCACAGTTATAGTATTGCTCAGACAGGAGTAGAGGGTGCCCTATATTTGTCTGGGACTATTTTCAGCAGTGGAATAACACTATTCTCTGAAGGAGCTGTTGTATGCAGTGGGATTACTAATGCAGAATTAAGTCAAGAAAGGTTTTGTGGGTGTTCGTCACAGAAAAAAAAATGTCTTTAAAATGCCTCATCTTGGTGTTTTTTGACATATTTGGACAACCATGGATGTATAGGGAGGAATTATTTGAGATTAGCTTATCACAGGTATTTTTGACAATAAGAAATACAGATCATGCTTAGCCTTATTTTTTTTAAAACACTACATGTTGACATAAGGCAATACTGGTAGATATGAGGATTTTCTAGGATTTGCTCTGCTCCTAAAAATTTCCAGAGTGTCTTCTTTACACAAGTCCTTAAAGCATTGAGGAATCTCAGGAGACAGGACATGGGATTAAATCACAATATGAAATCCAAACAGATTTACAGTAGTCTATAAAAGAGAATTTGACACCACAGTTATAGTTTTCACATTTATGTTAATGCTATCTTCAAGGACAGACATCTATACCTGTGTTTTTGTTTTTAAAATGATTCTCTCCCTTCACCCTTTAATCTTTTTTTTCTTTTGGCACAGAATGCATGATATAAATGTCAACACTCGTATCTACTTGATTGTTGAGAATTTCATGCTGCCTTAACCTGCTGCTTTTTATCATGAGCTCACCCCAACGTCACACCCTAGAATGTATACAGTATGGACAACTTGAAAGAGAGAATCGCTGTAATGACGCTCTGCTTTAACAGCAAATCCTCCAGATGTCCTACGCAATTTTTTACACCCATTGACTGAATGCAAATATGAATAATTGAAAATATGATGTAATTTCCCATTTTTATAACAATAACAATGCATCTGATTTTTATAGCGCTTTATCAGAGACCCTTAAAGCGCTTTACATTGGATACATCATTCATTTGCTCACAAAGTCACACCTTGGTGGTGGTAAACAATCTTAGTACTCACAGCTAACTAGGGCAGACTGATGGAAACGTGGCTGCCAGTTCGCACCTATGGCGACTCCGACCACCACCACACAACACACTCACATTCAAACACCAGTGGAGGACATACACTGGGAGGAAGGTGGGTTAAGTGTCTTGCCCAAGGACACAACAGATAGACTTGGGATAGGGGGAAATCCAAGCGCCAGCCTTGCAGTTATTGGACGACCGCTCTCCTTTTAGTTTATGACCTATACTGCAACCAGTCACCAGAGGGTGCTGTTCTCACGGAGGTTTCACCCAATGAGGAGGAGGATGACGACCATTCTACATACAGTCTATGCTTCACACCAACATTGTATCAGGAGGCTTATCAGGAAATATGTTTATTTACAAGTTTTTAGAAGTGCAGTGTATGTGTGAATTCAGACCCTTAACAAACCGTAGCATACAGGTTTACAAACACCTTGATATTATTATAGGTCAGAAAAGGTGCAGCTGCCTGAGACTTTTTTCTCTTTTCTGGGAAAACATTCACGCACATATCATTTAAATTCATTTTGGTGGTCAATTTCGTATCAAATTATGGTAACAGCTTTTTAACAGCTTGAAATCAGCTTATTTTCTGTTCTCATTCGCAGTGTGTACAAACCCATTTCTTTTCAATGTGTGAGATAGAGATAATGGATAATGACAGTCTGTTTATGGTGTGAAAGTGGCTGAAATGTTTGCACGCAGGTGTGAATGATATGATAAGAAGAGGTATGATTTATGTAGTATTCAGGTCATGATTTGTCCTATACATGGTCCCCGATGAATGCTGACTTTACTTACCAATCATTCAGAAACATCCCCCCTAAAATTGCCCTGTTTTCAGTGTGTTTCTCTGAGGTTTCTGAAAGACAAATGGAGCACCTTACAGAAGGAGGACTGCGGGGGTGGAGCCCTCAGATTTGCGTTGTTTACCTTCAGGGTTCTCTCCAACACAATTTTCTTGGGACCTAACAATCAGAAAGCTAAAGATGAAAATGTGTTGATGCATGTCTGCCAGAAAAAAAACAAAGCCAAAGTATTGAGTGCCAAAGACCACGCATGCATGTAGGGTGAGAGACTGAATAAAACACTAAAACTCTGAAGGAGAGAGAAAAAAAGGTGACGGATAATAATTCAAACCAATCCGTCACTGAATCCTGTGTGCTTTATGTTGTGATGCTTTCGTATGAGAGATGAAAAAAAAAAGAATAAATACAGAATGTGTCAGTAAATAAATATTGCCAGAGGGTCAAAAATGCATTAGTTATAAAATTTGACCAAAACAGTGCATGAACCCCGGGAAGACCTTTTAAAAAGGCTGAATAACTTTTATTTAAGACAACAGTGTGGTGCATTCATTGTACTGTATCTTGCTGCCAAAATTGAAATTCCGCAACAACAACAGCTTATCTCTGTCTACAAGGAAAAGTGAAGCACTTCCATGAGCACTTGATTAATTATGGAAATAAGTATTTGTTTGTTTTCTCTGACTCTTTGGTGCAATAATCTGGCAGCAAATTGATTTTCAGCAGGCGCTAGCTGGTATCATGTTGGGTATAGTAAAAGCCCTCTCGTCTCCGAAGATTATTTCATCTATGAAGAGTCTGGCAAGTTAACAAAGAAGCAGGTGGTTGGCTGAAAAAGTGGCAAAGGAATAATACCATGTCCACAGTACATGGATCTGTGTCTGTTTGTTGTTTTGAGCTCTCAAGCTCTTGAGTCTGTGACAGTGAGCATGAGCCTAATGACAGTGTTTTGTCATGTCCTCAACCTCAGAAACATCCGGACTATAGTGCTGCTACTCTGGACATAAATTGTTTTATTTTTCTGTTTGTCCTCCCCTGCAGCATTTCAACAAATGTTGCATGGTCACTTGGCAGCTGCAAGTTTAAACCCAGAGAGGACAATATGCACCATAAGGCTTACAAAAACAATGGGACATCTTAAAAAACAAACAAAAACAAAAAAAAAGATGGTTTGACTATTTACAAGTTACACAAGAGGATGGATTTATTAAATCTGTTAAAACAAAATGCTAGAGCTGGAGAGAGAGGTCTATAGCAGTTTGCCCTTGCTTGAAGTTATAATGAAAAAACAAAAGCACAGAGATTATTATCTTCCCAAATTTCTACTCAACTCTGCAGAGAGTCGTGGTGTTTGTCAGTCCCATCTAGTCCAACATTGCTGTCTTGGTTCCCCACATTCCCACAGTGTCTTCTTTGAACGTAGCAGAAAATGATTTTAAGCAATAACACAAAAAGTTTAAATACGAGCAGCAAAATTACCAAAGCAAGGAGACATAAAGTGAAACATTAGCTGCCAAAGAGTGGATTCAGAAATCTGTGGATGGAACATTTTTTAAATATAAAATTAAAAAGCAGGTTAACAAATTCCAATGTAGCTACATCCTGTGAGCTAACCATTTCCTTGTGCCGATTCTAATTTTAATCTTGTTTACAAGCTTACAAACACTGACACCGTGGACGTTTACAGGCTATGTGGCCAAATATTTGGAGCCCCCCCCTGCTGACCAGCTAGAGTGTACAGTAGGTCATGGACCCTACCTTCTTGACAGATGGAACATGGGTCAAAGCAGAGATTTAAGATACATGATAAATAAAAACATGTTTTAATAAACTGTTACCCTGTTGAGTTTTGTTTGAAATTTCCTTTTCTCAGTAGTTATTATTTGTTATGTGATGTTAAGATGACTGTAAATGATTAGCACCTCCCGTGGTCAGAGCAGTCTTTGCATATCAGTTTTAGGCATTAAATATTTACAGTATAAAAATCAACAATCCTGTTGCTGATAGTCTTGTCTGTTTTTTTATATCATATATGGGTGTTGTTACATTCTGCAAGCTAACCATTTCATCATTTACACTCATGTTGATCGCAACATCAGTGTTGCTGCTGCACACAACCTTTTAAAAACATGGCTAACGCAGGTTTAAAACACAACGTGATTGTGAAAAATGCATCACATAGACCTCTAACAGCCACACTGTATCGACATTCTTAGTAATATTGTCCATACATTACACAGCCAATGAGGATCCACTTACTGTGGGTGCTTACCATGAATGTGCCTCCGCTATAATGACACTTAAGCAACACAACATCTGTAAATCAACACAGAAACATAACTTGCATTCTATATTGGGTCAGGTTTGTGGGTCAGGCATTTATAACTCACAGCAAAACATAGCAGAGCCAAGACTCATCTTGTTTGCTGGCAAGCGACTTTGCTTTATATCCACTGGTTGCAAATATAAAGCATGGCAGACTTGATTAGCTTAAGAAGCATTACAGAGTGCATTTCTTGGCTGTGCTGGTGAAATCATCCAGTGTTGACCAGGCCAGGTTTTGCACAAATAATGTAGTGGCTTCAAGCTGCTGTATGTAACAACACTGACTTAAGATTGGAGAGAGAAAAGCAGGCCACATGTTTTTGTTGATTCCCTGAAGAGGAATGGTTTTAATGAGCCCCCCAGTGATGACTTCCAGTCTCGAGGCCTCTTTGTACATGCATCCTGGAATCTTTTTGAGGCCAATCATTTTACCTTTATGTACGATATTTCCCAGATGACCGTGACTTCTTGAACCTATACTCGGCTGAAAACATTACACCTCCCCTGCCACCAGATTTCAGGAGGGAGAAAGCATTCGAATCTGAAAAAATACATCTAGTGAGAACAGAATTCCCAGATGTGGCAAGCTTGCCCTGGAATTCAGATTTTTCCAGGCTTTTTCTACGAACATACCGTGTATCAAAGAGGGAGCGAGGATCATTCGCCGAATGGTGAGAAGATGAGACGTTACCATGGAGTCCAACACTTCCTCTAAAGTCTTAGAGAAAGAAAGGAGAGAAAACTGAAACAAGGTCAATAAATCTCTTTTTGTTTTTTTTTCTTTTGAGAAGACTTGGCAGCCCCAACCATACATGTCTGTTGGCATTTCTGTTTTTTAATTAGAAAGTAACTTGTCCTAATGGTGCCGCACAGCAAAACATTAAATTCAAAGTAAAGCAGAAAAAACATTGTAAAACATCAGTAATTGCACTTACAATAAATAACAGCATTGGCAGCTGTCTTCATCTAACTTTCAATCTCTTTAGATGCCCTGGGAGATTTACCTGGAGAAGATCTAAGTGGAGTTTAAGGTTAACGGTATTGTTAAAGGTTATCCTCTTATGCCTTATTTTACCTCAGGGTTGTTTGAGTTTGTTCCCAAAAGGTTAGAGGTTTGTTTTCTACTGAGACAGCTCCCCTTTGTTGCTGAGTTGCCTCCCTGATGGTTGCAGTTTAAAGATCTAAATCTACAGTACTGCTTCACATATTAACTTTAATGAAATCAACTGCTACCATTTGGTTTTGGCTAATTTAGATGAATGCTCATGAGTTCGACTATTGGCAGGATACATGGGAACCGTTTCAAGCAACAAAATCCTTTACCTGCTTTGTCTAGGAGCAGGAACAAGTGTTTGAGTTCAATGTACACATTTTCAATGCTTTTCCGTTTCCACTCTTGCTTGTCCTTGCCTCTGTCGGAGTACATGAACCAAATTCGGCTGTATGCTTAGGCTTCCTCTGTTTAATAAGATTTGCCTTTCCTATGATTGAATTAGATTTCTTGTTGCAGACTTGCTTAAATGACATCAGGGACTGACAGTTTGGAAATGAAAACTGAATTTGTTCTGTATACTTAAATGCTAAGTTATTGCAAATCATTTCAAATCAATTTATATTTTCTATTTTTATCTATATATGAATGTTTTTTACTCTGAAGATGATGGAAGAGGAACAAGGTAACAAATGTGTATTTTTAGTATAGTTTTTAATCATGGTATCTTTCTATTCTGACTGTGTTGGATCTGCTGCTCCATTACCTGAGCCAGTTGACAGACAACAGCCAACTGTCTGACTGTCCAGATAGGACAGAACGTGCTGGAATCCTCTTTCACGTCCAGTTGGCCGGTTCAAACCTGGATGACTAAATGTTAAGCTGAAACATTTTTTACTGTGGCCACAGTCTGTTCCACACACAACCATAGGATATCAGGCGTAAGGCCTGGTTAGATCAGAACTTTGAACCATAAATCTTAGTCGAGGCCTGCTAAAGCCAACACCTGTTTGTTATTTTCCTGCCCTTCCACAAAAATCATGAAAGATATTCTTCATGTAGAGCAAAAGGAGTGGATGAATGTTTGTTGTTCAGAAAAAATCCCAACACTTCTCATGCTGTTAGTGTTTTAACAATGTCAACCCTGAGCTGTGATCTTCAGGTGTGAATCCATAACCTCCAGCTTAATGAAAGCCGAAGGTTAACTCTGTGCTTTCTGCAGCCTAGCACTTCAAAAACCCATGGCTTGAAGGCGCTAAAGTCAGAAGCCTCAGACCCAGAGATCAATCGAAGAGACTTTCTGATATTTTGCTATGGATTTGTTGGTCGTCTCTTATACATTAACTAGAAGTCAGAAAGCAGTACGCTGAGTGATTGATGTCTGAGATATTCTCTTTTCAGGTTACATCAAAACAGAATATTTTATGAAGCAACAGTGGCTTACATGAGGTCCGAGTGAAGTCCTAATTCATCATCTGATGTTGATCAATAGTTTTATTATGAGATTCATGCAAACAAAGGCTGAGCAGACGGACAGTTCCTGGTGCTGAATTGAGCTCTCAGAAGCTACTAGATGCACAATACTGTATAACAGCTTTATCAAGTGAAGTTGTGCTTTCTTTATGAGAAACAAAGTTTTTATGAGTTCACCACAGAAATAAAGATAGAATATTATTAACACCCACACTCCTGTTCAAATATTAGAAGCAGCCTGGCCTTGCAAAACAGAAGTACAATAAAAATATACGTACAGTTTATGTTTACTCTTCCTTAAAACTTCTCAGAGATGTTACATTTGAATGTTGTCTCTGATTATAATTGAGTGTAATATTTAATATCAAACCTAATAAATCACTATCACAGTGTTTCATTCATGCATGTCTATTTAGGTATCTTATGGCAGCTATTTGCCAAGAAGTGGTAGTTCAAATAAAAGGACATCAACCCTTTGGTATTAAGTTTAGAGAAATTACCATATCTTGTAGATCACACTTATTTGCTAACTAATTAAGAGAATATTCAGTCAATTTAATCAGAGTTAAGAACTCTTTTACACAATAGCCTTAAATCTGTATTAGTCCTGAAATAGCCTGCTCAAATTTTGACCCGCCTAGTCTTTTTCGAGAACTTAAATTATAACACTGGGGCTGTCAAACAATTACTTTTCCAATTAAAATAAAACCTTAAATTAAAAAAAAATAAAAGTAAAAAATATACCTTATAAACCTGACATTTAGATGAATTATTCAAGAGAAAGCTGCACCACTGCACCAGTGTGGTCTTAGACCATGACCTCTATTGAGCTCACACTGGATGTTAATAAAAATATGGATTAATTACTTGTGAAGTCAAAGCAAAGATGCAATTGGACTCAAATTTGCATCGCATGTAATACACTATTTACCTTATTTGCTAAGAGTTTGCTTTTTTGTATAACTTTAAAAATCTGAAATCCATCAACTCACTCACACCTTAGAAACCAATCAGCATGGAGATCCCCAGGTGAAGAGCGAAGATTTGTTCATTTGAAAAATGTCGGGCTAACTTGCTGTGAAGGTGTGCGGCCACCTAAAGTTATACAATACTGTTGGTTTTGTTTTTGTTTCTAACCAAGAATGAAAAGGAGTGAGTCAAGAGGTTGGACTGTCTGTTAAGATGTGACAAAACTCAAGAAAGCCTTGCAGTGTCTTCAACCATGTTTGATGAAAACAGACATGGCATGAAGGAAACCCCTCCTCTTGCATAAATTTGTGTGCTTGGGCTCTTGTGTAGACACAATATGGTATACAAACAGAGCAAGCTATCAAAGCAGATCAAGAAGGTAAACACAAAACATTCAGATGTTCAAATGCATGAATTAGGCATGTGAACAATTTTATTCCCATCTGGTGTGAACACAGCATTAGAGGTAGTAGGCAGCCTGAAATAGTTCATTCTGTGAAAGCCAGAAGAAGTTGATTGGCCTGCAGTCAGCTGTTTTCAAAAGTGGGCCATTCAAAAGCACAATGGTAACATTATTTTCCATCACAGTGGAAGCCGGAAGAAGTGGCAGCAGCTTAACTATGGTGTTCCAAAAGGGACAAATAGCAAAACCGAAGATTGCATAATGATTAATGTCTAAATCTCAACATCTGTCTTGAACTGAACCTGAAATGATAGATTGAATTTTTCTGATTGACTGCCAGATTGGGCTTGCTCATGAATAAAAGATTACACTGACAGTACGCATCTACCCGTTTTCTAACTGATAAAATCTCTTGTTCAGAAATTGCAGCTCAGAAAACATGGTTAAACCACAGGCTATCTCCAAACAGACCTTACATTGCTGGTGCACGACTAGTTCTGTTCCACTTAATGTCCAACCTACATAGATTTCCTTGCCATTGTGACAAACTTAATGTTGCCTAGTGTTTTTGCTATATGAAGAATCAGAATAGCAAGACCACATGCTGGGTAAATATTTGCACACTTGGCAAAATCTTTTGTGTTTCAGACACCTTGATTAGTGGACTGGGTTTCTACCATGTGGCACAGGTGATAAGTCTGACTGTAACTCTTTGATTCAGTGGAGTAAGATTTGAAAGGGCTGCAGTGTGATATGTCAAATGTTAAAACAGAACTGTCCTATTATACACTCTGCGTGGCTCTGCTTTTCCTCTCTGCTCAGAGGTTAACAGGGTTAATGCAGGACGTGGTGGTTTGTATCCTGAGGGGAGAATGAGTTTTTCTGGCGACATATCGCACTGAAAAGATCAAGCAATTCTCATCTGTGCAGCTTTACCATCTGATTCCCTGTACCGTGTTTGACATCTCAACATAATCACGTTATTTATCATGAAATTGTCCCAGTAGTGATGAGTAAAACAAATCCTTTAAAGTGGGGCTTCATACTGTGAATTCTAAAAGCAGTTTTTCCTCAGGGAAACTTCCAGCGAGGTGTGCACAACCGTCTGATGGATTCCTGCCTCTACTGATGGCCCCAAAAAGCTAACCTGAGTTTGTTCTAATGGCAGCACGCTCTGATGAATTCATATCCAGTAAATGTGTGTGTCTGTGTGCGTGTGTATGAGATCACATGGCTCATGAGAAATCCTCCATGGGGACAGGTTCCAGCAGATTGGGCTGCCGGTAGGGAAAGCGCCACCACATCCAAGAGTTTAGTTCTGAGCCTCGATTTCCTCTCAGGGCTTGTGTTAGTGTTTGTTTTTCCTAAACATTGTTTACTCTCAGTGTGTGTGTGTGTGTGTGTGTGTGTGTGTGTGTGTGTGTGTGTGTGTGTGTGTGTGTGTGTGTGTGTGTGTGTGTGTGTGTGTGTGTTTTTATTAGTTTTTCATAGATCTGACACTAAAACTGGATGCCTGGCAGTAATAAAAATTAAATCCCGTCGGCTTCCTTTCCATGAAAAATAGATTATCGTCAGAGCGGCTAACTGACAAGGTTTGTGTCAGGTTGTTTTATTCCCGGTAATGTTTGCACTGACACAACTGACAGTATCCAAAACAGCACAAACAGCAGCCCTGCTGCACTGCTACATAACTCACTGCATCAAGTACATTTAATTCCCCATTATATTATTTCATATCATGTAATGAGTCAAGCAGAAGACGTGGGCCAATTAGGCCGAGGTCAGGGGGCCATTTGAGGTTAGTTATGTATGCAGCTGCCGACACGCCACGTTCCAGCTCTGTTTATTCTGCTTTTTTTCTTTAAATATTTGTTTTTCAAAGACTAGCCTTCTTCCTTGCACTTAATGCGACTTTCTTGTTTGGCCTCATCAGCAAATATGAAAAAATCAGCCCCACTGGGTATGAAGTAGGTCAAACTGTTAGTAGTTAATTTGGGCCTGGCTGGGACAGGCTTGAAACAGCACTTTATTTTTCTGTTCACTTAACTCCCTCTCTCTCTCTATCTCTCTCTATGGTTAAGAGTTGATGCTGTCCAAGGCCTTTAATCTTATATAACTTTGTAATAAACCATAATTTCATGCTCAAGGCTGAAAGTGAAGGGCATTTATTTGTACTGTCTTGTATGTTAAAAAACATTCTATTCAGTGTGTTATTAACTCCTAACAGTCTCATCCAAAGCTGTGTGCGAGGCTCACTGTGTTGTCATTATCATTACACACGCGTTGTTGATGTTATTTCTGAACGGTCCTGCTGTGTGTGCAGCTCATGTCACTCACTTGTCACTGTACTTCACACTCAATATCCAATCAGCTCTACCACGAGGATACTTATCTCTGATGCTTTTGCGGGTTCGTTGACTATCTGAAATTTAAATTGCATGAAAAAAAAAATCAGTCAGACTCCAGACATGTTTCACACAAATGCTGAAGGATAGGTCAAACAATATTTGGAGAGGCTTGTAACAATCTAACACACACTCAAACAGCAGACCTCTCTGCCCCCTTTAATGATACTGTTTGATACAGCAAAAATGATGATTGCATTTCTTCCTGGCTTCATAGACTAGAGTAGATAATATCATCACTTTTATTGACTGTGATATTTTAAAGTCAAATTGCACCAATAGGAGGTTTTTGTGATGATAACCATTAAGGGTCCAGAGT